ATTAATTTGGAAAAGTTGTTTCATTTAGATTCAAATTCAAATTTGAATTATAAAGTTTTCCATATTAATAATGTACATTAGGAAACCTCCTAAAACCCAATAAAATCTAAAATCAATTTTAGATTTAATGGCAATCCTCAATTAAATCCCTCCCGAGCTCACACATTAAATGAAAACACCTCAAACTTCATCCTATGTGGCCGACCTCCTCTCTAGCTTCTTTTTCTCTCCAATTTTCCACCTAGACCCTCATTAAATCCCCATTAAACCTCCCTTGGCTGCCGCCCCAATCAAGCCACCATTTGGAATTTAATTTGAATTTCAAATTAAAGTTTCCCTCCCTCTAAATCTGAGAATTAATTTCAGATTTTAATCTAGCCCTCCCTAATTCACCCTCTCGTAAACGTACCTTCTTCCCCTTCCTCTCTCACGGCCCACCCTCTCTCTCCCAAACCGCCACCCCTCCTCTCCTTACCACCTCAATTCTCCTCATCCCCACTCAAGGCAAGCATGAATGGCCGATTTGGAGATTGATTACGGGTTCGTAGAAGAGTCTCACGGACGGACTGATATCCTATGATCTTCTTTCCTCGACTTCACTCCGGACCACGTAGAAGAGTCTCGGTGGAAGAATACGAGGACCACATTTTGTATCAATTGACGCTTTCAATTGAAGAGCACATCCTTCCGGGTCATTGGTACGTTGTCAACCATCTATCTACTTCTCCGAATTTGACTACCGCTCCAACGACTACTACCCGAGGCTTCTTCCTTCTTATGGTGGCATCGCTTGGTGTATTGGCTTTGCTTCTCCGTCAAACCTTACCACTTTAAAGAGAGAGATTCATGGAACTCAAGGTGAAAACATTGCTTTGTTAATCGGTGGATTATGTTGAACTACTCATTTCATTACTTTATTTTGGTTGTTGTTTTAAAGGATTCTTTAACTTCAGTTTGTGATTGATTGCCTACGCATAGCTTTCTTCTTAAGATCCTCTTTGAATCTACTTGGGTGAAACATTTAAGTTAAAATTTATCGTTACTTAATCAATCACTTATCAATACTCGCAATCAATTCCTAGTTTCACATCAGATATCCCCATCATTCTCCCGGGGTGGGAGAAAACTAGACCCTGTCGAGTTTGCTGTAAGTGAACTGTTGTATCGCTCCAACAAATCCGGGTCGATCCTCTGCAACTCCTCACGCTCAAGCCTTGTATCTTCGATCTTCGGCTTATCCTTCTACCTAACCAAATATCTTCTTCTTCCTCCATCCTTAGTAGAAATAGTTTCATCGCTCAAAATGATATCAATTTTATCCGTTTGGGGTGTATTGGGTAATTTGGATAGTGGAGTTAGGCTAGGGTGCTCACTGGGTGGGTTCACACAAGGCTCAACAAATGGATTGGGTGAGTTAAAATCAGGTCCCTCATATACTACTAGATCCTCTATATTAAAGGAGGGACTTATGCTAAAATCTAAAGGAAGATCCACCACATAAGCATTGTTATTAATTTTCTTCACCACTCTAAAAGGTCGATCACTCTTAGCATATAGTTTGCTAATAGCCCCTTTCGGGAACCGTTCCGGATGAATCTGAATCATCAAACAATCACCTACTTCAAAAGTTATGAATCACTTCTTAATGTCAACCTGATGTTTGTATGTTGCATTGCTTTGATTTATCCTAGTTAAAATTTTTGTATGCAAATGGGATGCAAATGATGATACAGACTCACTAACTCTAAACCTAGGGCTCATGGGAATCAAATCTATAGGCTGCCTAGGTTTGAAACCAAAGATTATCTCAGCTGGACTCAGACCCATAGTACGATTCACGAAATTGTTATAGACAAACTCAGCTATAGACAACTTAGAATCCCAATCTTTTACATGTTCACCAAATAAGAGTTTGAGAAGATTTCCCAAGCTCTTATTAACTGCCTCTGTCTAACCATCTGTCTGTTGGTGAAAAGCAGTAGAGAACTGAAGTTTTATGTCCATTTTTAACCATAAGGTTTTCTAGAAATAACTTGTGAATTTGACATCCCTATTAGACGCGATGGTTTTGGGTAACTCATGTAGTATAACCACTTCATTGAAATAAAGCTTGACAACAACTGAGACCTCAAAAGTCCTAGATCAGGGTAAAAAGTGAACCATCTTGGAGAATTTGTCTAGTAAGACACAAATGACATCTTTCATATGAATAATCTTTCGCAGGCTTAAGAAAAAATCCATACTAACATCCTGCCAAGGACAATTAGGGACGAGTAGAGGTGTATACAGGCCAATGTTTTGCTTCCTTTGTTTGGCCAATTGGCAGGTGTGACACCTACTGACCAATCTAGCAACATCTCTCTTTAGGCTAGGCCAGAAGAAACGATACTCTACAGCCTTTAAGGTCTTATCATGGCCAAAATGGCCAACAAGTCTCCCCGGCATGAAGCTCCCAAACCAGAAATTCCCTAAGGGAGGTGTACGGGGTGCAAAGCTTGTAGGATCTAAATAGATACCCATCATCAATGAGATATTCATTAACAGTGCGCTCAGAACCTGAGGAGAGGATGGAGTAATAATATATATTTAAAATACTGATAAAAATTGAATCAATATAATATTAAAAATAATTTAAAAATAATAAATAATTTAACTAGAATTTGTACTTAAAATAATTAATATTAGGATGTCGAGAGTCGAGCGTCTATGCCGTGTATTAGGCATCGAGAGGAGACGACAATGTTGTATGATCGATGTTATGTAATGCCGGGCGTCAATGTCAAGAGGGCGTTGGTCGTCGATGTTAAGAAGACGTCAGACAATGATGAGCCGTCAAGTTATGGGTGTAAAATTTATTGCACACCTCTTTGAGGTGAAGTGTTGGTTCATCATAGGAGACAACAACTTCTCCTGGAATTAGATAGTCCCTTTTTTACTGCACTCGAAGGAATGATATATTCAACTTGCAATCATAAGATTGAAAATTAGATGATGAATTTTTTTCAATCACTAAAAGTTGTCGATTACAATTCCTCATAATCCCAGGCTAGTAATAAGGCTGGAAATCCTCCCAAAATAGCTGAACTGCGGCCTCAATGTCAACAATTGCACCCACCCATTAGTCGCACAAAAATCCATCCAAAAGCAATAAAACTTCCAAGCCAACAACTCGATGTGAGCTCTCGCATGTTGCTACAAACTCCTTACTACAAAATAGCTTGGGCGCATCTTAGGATATGGGATTTAAATCTGCATGTCTTATCAACAAGCCTACTCAATGCGTGAATGAAACTTACACTCCCCCCCCCCCCCCCCCCCCCCCCCCAAACACCCCCCCCCCCCCCCCCCCCATATCCTAAGATGCGCCCAAGCTATTTTGTAGTAAGGAATTTGCAATGGAAACCGTCATGCGACTTAAAATTGAATTCATCATATGTTGTTGAAACTTTAAGTGATTTATATGAAATTCACTTTGATCAAGAAAGTCTGCAAGTTAATTAGCTGGTCTTGAAACCCCAAGTTGATTGATTGTCAATTCCAAAATCAATAATTAGATGCGAAGATACAACAACATTATATGGTCCCTCTGGTTATATTGCCCTGCATTATTACTTATATTACCCTACCTTATAGTTGTTATATGTATTATATGGGGTATTGAAATACAACAACATCACATTGTTTGATGCTGTTTTCTCTACACTAATGTGTTGGACCGGTTCTTCTTTGACAATTGCTGCTTTACTTCTTGCTGACATTTTTGGTTTATGGATTTCATCATGCTTATACTATTCTTGTTTGGCTCTAGAGATGTTTCTCATGGTGTTGAACTTAGCTTTTTTTTACTTGAGGGCCTCACTACTTTGAAATTTATTTTTGGAGGCAATGAAGATCACCAACATCAACACCTGATTCAACCAAGCAACGGGATTTTGTTTTGGTAGTTTTCCTTTATCATGATTAGTGCTTCTTGTGCCTCAACTGATACTTGTTTTTAGCTTCTCGTGCTGGATGAACTATTATGCATTTCCTCAGACGGAGTCCACATTCTCCTGCTTTATGTTTTTTTTATTTTGTTTTTAATACTTTCCTTATACTTTTTAACTCTTAAATCATAGTTTCTTTTTTCTTTTAGGTTGGCAAAATTTTTGAATGATAGTGTCATAATATTTGCTTTTTTTGTGACTAGTTTGCCACTGTGTAGTCAATTCTAATCAAGTTTATATTTTAATGAAATTTGCTGGATGTGACCCTCAAAGTTTCTGACAAAAAAGCAATTATGAGGTGAAATCATGAGGCCACTGTTAATTTTTCATATTGATTTTTGAGGATTTTCATATTCCTTTCAAGCTTTCATTAAAAAGTGACTTCTGCTCAGTTCATTCCGCTTTAATCTCTTTCCAATGTTTTCACCCAAACTGTTGGTGGTGCTTGCGCTTGTTGTAGTTAAATTAAAGATGCAGCAATATCTCTTGTGTTTGTTCTAACAAGGATCCCAACTATTTGGTCTATATTTATCTCTTCGCGTCTATAGGCATTTATCATGAGAATTGGTATGTAAGTTTTAGTTTTTGTATGTTATTTTGGTGTTTTACATTTTACAAAAGGCGTAGTTTGGATAAATTGATGTGCCATTGAAAGCATGGAAAATTAATTCACCTTCATGTTTACGATGTAGTATTCATTTGGATGCTGATCTCACTTAAATTTATCCTGTAGAAATTTGAAGATATTTAATACATGTTGAAGTTTAGATTTATTTTTGAGGATCTATTATGTAAATCTTGATAGGTCTAATATATTTTTGTCCGGCTTTTAAACATGGACTCTTTAGTTTCACTTCTAGTATCTACATTTTCATTGCTAACGCAACACTTAGCATTCTAATTGAATTTTGGTGCTCAACATTGACTTACAAAAGGAAAAATCTTATTAGATATCTTTCTACTCGGAATTTCCTGGATGATGTTTTATTCATGAGTTCATTTTGATTTGTTTAGCAGGATGTCAGGAAGGATTTCTTTAGAGGTCATAAAGTATCAAGCCAACGAGCCAGGATCCGGAGAAGAGAATTACGGAGCCCTCATGGCTTGGACAGTTTTGGACCTTGCTTTTTTTCTATTTTTAAGTCTCTCGTACCATCAGAGGATGAAATAGTTAAGCAAGAACAACTGCTACTCTCGCTGAAGAAATTGGTGAAAAAGGAATGGCCTGATGCTGAACTCCATCTCTATGGTTCATGTGCTAATTCATTTGGGGTTTCAAATAGTGACATTGATGTTTGTCTCGCAATAAATGATTATGAGATAAGCAAGCTTGATATTCTGTTGAAGTTGGCTGATATTTTAGAGTCCAGTAATCTCCAAAACGTGCAGGTAGGTAAGAATTGCGTTCTTTCATCTTTAATTGCTATAGTATTGCTTGTTTTAGTTTGTGCTGAGAAGCTCATTTCATCTTTGAAGAAGCTTCATCTCGTTTTGATATTTTTTCCAACTTTTTTCTCAATCTCCCCCTTTTTAAATCTCACTCTCTCACACTCACACAAAACTTTCTATCTATCATTGATGAATTTATTTTTTAATTTTCCAGAATTGCTCACCATCCAATTTCTTATTTACGATGTATTATCTTAAAAATTTAAATCATTTTTTCTCACTTGTTCTTTATATTTTGGTATCTTCAACTATTGGTTGTGCTATCTTAAGCTTTGTATGTTGAATTTGTCAATGATATGTTTGTTCATTTCCGCATTGCATTTTGTTGAATTATGGTTTTCCCTAATAATTATCACGCACAGTTTATTTTAACATTGCATTCATTGTGCGGGCTAGAATTTTCCCAAGAAGGAACGTTGGAGAGCTTATTGCAGTTTTTAGTTTATCTATTTATTATTTTATTTTTGGACTAGTAGTTCTAGCAGTCCACTCTGCTATTAAACAAGCCAAAATTGTGAAAACATAGAAATATCTACTATAAAATTTATCTTAATTGATAAGAAATAGAAAGTCTATTCCAACAAGAAAAAGAATTAAAGGGAAAAAAATATTAGGCTGGTCACTTTCAGGTCAAAATCGAATTCACGGGTCAACTCATATCCAGATATTTCGGGTTGGGGGGGTCAGGTCATTAATTGGCACCCCTTTCCATGCCAATAACACATACAAACTTTCATTGCATGCTTAAACCCTTAAGAAGAGATGAAAGGGTTTCAAATTTTAGCACGAGTGCATGATAAATTATAAATGGCAAAATTCACATAAGATAACTAATGTACCATGATCAATCATATTTCCTTTATCATCAACTTAAACTGATTAGTATCCTTTTGAAACTTAGCAGGTTATGTGAATCATATAGCTAGCTAATTTTTTTCGAAATTTAAATTGGATACTCCATAATTGGCATCCAACATGGTATTCCGGTGTTTCTTGGAGTATCCTAGTGTCCTAATATGTTGGACATGAATAAAATATTTATTTAGAAGTTGCTATGATTTGGAGACATCCAGCTTCTTATCTTGCTTTATGTTTAGCATATCACGAACGTTTATTTTATTGCTTCCATGAGGGTTTCATCTAAAATTTAAGATATTTGTTTATTGGCTGTAATGCCTCATCACATGTTGAAATAAATACTTCATTTTTTCTAAGTTGGTTAATTTTATTCACATTTTACATTATGGTGACTTCTTTCCGGACTTTTTAACAGCTTAATCTAATTTCTTACACGATATATTGGATGATAATAGGCACTTACCCGTGCTAGGGTTCCTATTGTAAAGATGATGGATCCTGTAACAGGAATTTCTTGTGATATCTGTGTAAACAATCGTTTAGCTCTTGTCAACACCAAGCTTCTCAAGGATTATGCTCAAATTGATCAGAGATTAAGGCAGCTAGCTTTTATTGTGAAACATTGGGCCAAGTCTCGTCGAGTGAATGAAACATATCAAGGAACCCTTTCTAGCTATGCGTGAGTTACAGTAGATTTATATTACTATTCGTGTGTGTTATTTGTGCATTGGAAACGATTGTTTTCTGTTAATACTAATAAGATAAAAACATTTACAGCTATGTGCTGATGTGCATCCACTTCTTACAAACACGGAAACCAGCTATTCTTCCTTGTTTGCAGGTTTGAGATTCTATCCTAAATATTTTCTTCCTTTGTGTGTTTTAAACATTTACAGCTTTCTATCATTTAGCTCTAATTTAATGCAATTGCTTGTTATTAAACTGCTTATAATCAGAAGGAAATTTTAATTATTTTAGCTTTCAGTGAGGTTTTTATCGATGATTTTACTATGGGCGTACCTGCAGGATATGGAGATAGTGTAAAACTGAATATGCTTAGTTAATTTTTATAAGATTTAGATGTCAGAATTTTTTAAGGATAATTTCCTTCTATGAGGTCTAGAGAGAGCTTTTCAATTTGGCTAAACCTTTTAAAGCCCTTAACCATTTGCTGAACCTAGATTGGATTATGTTGATCCAAACGATCAACTAAAGCTCCATTTGTTTTCATTCTATGATGTATTTTAGAGCTCTATCTTCCAATTTGAGCTTTAGTTGGATTCTTCTGCTAAGATGCTTATTAGAAAGTCAGTCTGCCTTGTTGTTTGCATCATGCGACCACCAGTGGTTGTTTCAGATATATTATGACTGTTGTATAAGCTTTGGCTTGACATGTGCATATAAAGAAGAAATGCGGTCCCACAGCTGTTTAAAGTCCTCATTTTACAGCACAAGTGGCTGAGATTGTCTGATTTAGGGTTGTGAAAAAAATACATATCTTAAAATCTGTATCAAGCCACTAAATAGATTAATTGAGCATAGGTTATGATGGATACTAATATTTCTCAAAACCAATTTGGATTCATGCCGGATAGATCTACTATGGAAGTTACACATTTATTAAGAGGTTTGATGGAAATTATAGAGAGAATAAGGTGGATCTACATATAATATTTATTGATTTAGACAAAACATATGATAAAGTTCTAAGAGAAGTACTCTCGAGAGTGCTAGAAAAAAAAGGAGTTAATAATGCATATATTCAGGTTATTAAGGATATTTATATAGGAGTTGTTACTTGCGTTCAAACACAAAGTGGTTTGACCAAGTGTTTTCTTATTTCAGCTTACTTACATCAAGGATTAGCTTTAAGCTCATATCTTTTTGCTTTAATCATACATATTCTTACTAGACATTTGCAAGAGCATGTGCCCTAGTGTATGCTTTTTACTGATGGTACTCTTCTTGTGATAAGACTAGTGATGGAGTTGAAAGAAAACTTGAATTATGAAGGTCAACCTTAGAGTTCTAAGGTTTTCATTTGAGTAGATCTAAAATTAAATACATGGAGTATAATTTGAGTAATAATAAATCTAATGGAGGGATTGTGACCTTGGGCGATCAAGTCATTAAAAAGATTACATCTTTTAGATATCTCGGGTCTATTGTTCAAAGTGATGTTGAAATGTATGGGTATATTATTAGTAAATTTTAAGTTGGATGATTGAAGTAGAGGAATGCATTAGGCCTGTTGTGTGATAGTTAAGTTCCCCTCAAACTTAATATAAAATTCTATAAGAGGGTGTTGAGACCTACTATGCTTTATTGCGTAGAATATTTGATGCAAGCAAAAATTTGAGAAAAGCCAAAAAATTTTGCAAGCAAAGAACTCTTCCTAGGATAATAAAAGGACACAAAATTCCCAAAAAGATACCTTTTATATCATATAAAGACACTTACAACAAAGGACGCTTACAAACGACACATTAAACATTTTAAAACATAACAATGATGCTTACAAACTTATAACTTGGAAACACCTAAAAATGTCTTTCATCTATTGCTTTGAGAAGAAGGATACAAGTGGCGTCGAACTTGCGGAGAGAAGAAATATATTAGAAGCTGCTACGAAATGAAGGAGAAGTTCGCAAGCTTTCTTAAAAGAAGAGGAAGAGGTGAAACAAGCTCTCAAGCTTTTTCAAAGGAAGAAAAACCCTCAGGTTTTTAGTCTCCGAAAATACCACATAATCTCTCTAAAAAACTCTAAAACAGCCACAAACACCTCCTATATATAGGTAAAGAAAGGGGAGCCAAACAGCCACATAAAACCAATAAAAACAGCACCCAAAGAGCCTTGCATTTATTTCAAAACAGCTCTCAAAAAGCTGTAAAAATTATGGGTAAAAACAGCCACGAGAAAGGAGTAGGCAACATAAAACAATTCCCAAAAATCAGCACATGAAACGGTTAGGAGAAGTCACGGGAACACAGCTAGGGAGGGACCCAAAGAACCAACACAGAAACATGGAAGGAGAAGACACAGGAAGGCAGCCAGGGAGCAAACCGAGCAGGAAAGACAGGAACCGGGAAGGGGAATTCATGGGAAAGTAGCCAGGGGGAAAACTGAAAAGGCAACCAGCACACAGCCTTTATTCACAAGGAAGAAACTAAGGAAACACAAGAAGGGGAAGAGGTAGTTAAGGGAAAACATCCAGGGAGCAAACTGAAAAGGCACAAAGAAGGGTAAATGAATCTAATTAATTACATGAATGAGCTGATTAGATAGTTGCTCATCATTAATGAGCTGACTTAAGTAGAAGCTTACAAAAACTAAATCCCAACTTGTTTTGACCCCCCCTACCTACATCAATTTTCCTCCGGTTGAAAGAACTCATCTCCCGATGAGATTGCTTTAGATTTCTTCCGAGGAGGCAAAGAAGGCGCCTCAAGCTCATGAATTTTTGTCGCATACCTTTTCAAGACCTCTTCTCGCTCTCGCTTGAATTGTTCTTGTAGAAGTTGTTTCTTTTTCATGTACTGCTCCGTACACAAATGCATCTTCAACTGAAGCTTCTATAGTTCATTCTGTAGGGGATCTGTTGAACTTCCTTTCGACGGAATCCACCTGCCATTGGAATAGTGTCTTCAAGATCTTCTGTTTTGCATTCTTCCACGACTGAATCAATCTTTTTGTGATTTTCCATTTTTTAACTCTTAAAAAAAGACACGAAAATAGAGACCTAGGAAGACACAAACCTAGGCTCTGATACCAAATTTATGCAAGCAAAAATTAAGGAAAAGCCCCAAATTTTTGCAAGTAAAAAAGATTAAACTTTTCCAAGAAAAAACTTAAGTTTTTATCCAAAAATCTGCCATCAAAACTCTACTTTTTTAACTATACGATGCAAGCAAAAATTTAGAAAAGCTTAATTTTGAAGTTCTGCTTGTTTTTAAAGTTCGTAAGTTGTTTTTATGGGAAGATACCGAGTGGTACCGAGCATGTACCTAGCATGTATCTAACAGTACCGAGCATATACCTAGAGGTACCGAGCATATACTGAGCAGTACCGAGCATATATTGAGCGGTACTGAGCTTGTATCGAGCGGTACCAAGCATGTACTGATTGATACCGAGCATGTACTGAGCGGTATCGAGCATGTACCTAGCGATACCTCATTTAATAACCGGACACGCATGTCCGATTTTAATTTTAATTTTTTAAAATTGCGACACTCCAATGCCGTGTTGGACACGTGTCCATGCCATGTCCGACGCGTGTTCGTGTCCGACGCGTGTCCGACACTGCATACCCTCCTGAAGAGGAGTGTCGGTGCATCATAGCTTCTCAGATGATCCCATTCAAGGTGTTGTATGGAAGAGATCCACCTCCCTTGGTACATTTTGGGAGTAGCAGTACTCCAGTTTCTTCAATCGAAGAGTACTTGGAGGAGAGGGACAGAGTGTTGGAAGAATTAAAAAGGCATCTGCTGAGGCCCAGCAGATTATGAAGAAACAAGCTGATGGACATCGGAAGGACGTCTAGTACGACGTGGAGGAGAGGGTATTCTTGAAGCTTCGACCATACATGCAGAAGACAGTCGCCAATAGAAGGAATGAGAAGCTTGCTTAAGGTACTTTGAATCTTATGAGGTATTGGAAAAAATTGGAGTGGTAGCATACCGCCTGAAATTACCACCATCGGCGACTATACATCCGGTTTTTCATGTGTCCTAGTTAAGAAGGGCCATTGGAGAGTATACAGCCAACCCTAAATTACCAGTGACACTTACTGAGGATTTAGAGGTGATTCAGGAATCCTTAGAGTTGATGGGGATTCGCCAGAAAGAAGATGAAGTTAAAAAAGTGCTAATCAAGTGGAAAAATCTTCCGGGCTACGATGCCACATGGGAACCCTACGAGAGGGTGAAACATCAATTTTCTAATTTCCACCTTGAGGACAAGGTGGTTCTTTGGGAAGGGGGTATTGTTACGGGACAACCCAAACCGGCCCAAGAGGTGCAGGTTCAGACATATAGGAGGCAGGCTGAGCTGCCTTCTTTAGGGACCATCGCCTAAGCAAAGTGACCCCCCCCCCCCCCTCTTTGGGCGGCAAGTAGAGAGAGAGAGAGAGAGAGGGTGGTTTGGATGAGGAGGCTAATTTGAAGCGTTTTGCATGAGGAGGCTATTTTGAATTTATTTTATATTAGGAGGCTTTTATTAGGAGGTGGGGTATTTAAAAGCATGAAAAGGTAGGGTTAGGGTTGATGTTTTGATTATTGTCTCTCTTGGTGGCTTTGGGCTCTAGATTTATCATCTAGAGATTGGGAGAGAACGATCCTCTCGAATTGAGGATCAATTGTATCTTTGCTTTTTCTTGCCTTTGGTTTATGCCTACAATACAATCTACTGTTTTTTGGTTGTTTTTCATTGGAGATCTTGAAGTTTTCTCGCTGTTTTCATCGATTCTTGTTAGGGTTGCTTGAAAACACAAGTATATCCCGCTAGGGTTACTTGCGAACTCAAGTATTTCCTATCACATTAATGGTCCACTCCAATACTTCTCGGAAGAACATTCAACTAGATGTTAACTTGAGATATAAAATTGTTATATGGGTTTTTTCTCTTTTTATTAGCAGTTGAGCTCTTTTGTGGGTGCATTAGTCTGACATTGAATTTGGCACAATAAATATCTAACTGGCTCTCTTGTAGAGCCCTGCATTGGGTGCCCATACCCACACCCACCCACGTACCCACCCATACCCAATGGGCATGGGTGGGTATGGGTACGCCCATGACCTCGTGGGTGGGTATGGGTGGGTACTCAACATCAGCAGACAAAATAATTTACATTACTAATTACCATATGCATGCAGTATATTACAATAATCCTTACTACGCAGTGCACAACACTGAACCGCATCATGACCACGATAAATTTTGATGTGCCTTGAAAGTTTGCAGTCAGAGAAAATGACAAAAAACTCAAGGCCATTAATCTGTGGCAGAGTGCATTCAAGAAGCGTGAAAAGTGGGTGGGTGTGGGTGGGTATGACATCCCGAAAGTCACCATAGGTGGGCAAAGCCCGCTAGCGTAGAGCGTGGGTACCCAATGGGTATCCAACCAGGACCCCGTGTAGGGCTCTGCTCTCTTGGACTATAGTAAACAAAAGATTAAAATGGCTTTTGCGAGTACAAAAAAGCTTAGCATTCCAGGGCGCCATGACCTCAGTTTATAAGGCAAGATGCTTGGTGCTCTCCTCAGAGGGGCTTACGAAAGACATTGCAGTTTAAGCAATCTGCATTTTGTATGTATAGACTGAAGAGGGTGGTTTTCTGTAGTTGAAGCATATTTGACACCATTTTGACTTTTTGGGCATGTTGAAATCAAGTTGCATTCTTTGAAGCAAATGTTGGATATATGCTTTCAAGATGATTTTCTTATTGCATGCATTTATTTGAATGCTTTCCAGAATTACGTATTGTATGAGTTACTGGCTTACTGCTGTATCATATTTTATTCTTTTTCTATGAATATAAATATTTGATGCTTTCCTTATGAGTTTGCTGTATCACATTTTCCTTATGATGCTTTATAGGCAAAAATCCTGCTGTATCTTTGTCTGATTTTTTTCTTTGTTGTTTAGCTAACATTTGAGGGGTTCATGTGCCAGAGTTGTGTTGACTGTGAAATGATCTGTTTGAGATCCTTTTCATTTCTTTTACTTCCAGTTCTTTGCATTGCATGTTTTACATGAAATCGGTGCGTAAATGCTGGTTATTCTTTCTTCTTTGTCATCATAATCATTACTATATTATGTACTTTCTTCTCCTTATTCACAATCTTAATTAAGGCTACGTACCAGATATGGAATTTTTAAACTTATCTGGATGTCAGGGAATGGAGGCAACTTGTCGGGTAACTGTGAATGAGACTGAATGTGCCTACTTTGATAAAGTTGAAAAACTTAAGAACTTTGGAGCCCGAAACAAAGAAAGCATCACGCAACTACTTTGGGCTTTTTTCCATTATTGGGCATACTGTCATGATTATACAAATGACGTTATATCTGTACGTACTGGAAGAATTATTAGGTATGCTTTCTGTCACTCTCTTCATGTTCCACATTTTGTATTTTTGTGTTTTCTTCTTGTGCTTATCCTTTTTTGTTCCACATCAGTAATGTGTAGGGAATAAATACCAGATTTTGGATTTGCAAGTTCGTTTGTACATTTCTCCCTCTCCCTTGTCAAATGCCATTATTTGCTGTATATTACAAAGCTTTGTAGCCCTTCAGGAGTAATTGCAGTGCTCTGCTAAAAATAGTATAAGTACTTGCTTGTTTACTTTGGGCTTGTCTTGCTGCCTGCGTTTTGGGTTTTATCCTGTCTGATATCGTTGACATTTTGTTTTCCTATTTGCTTGGCTACATGACTACATACCAGGCATAATGTAGATTCTGGAATAATGGTTTCTAGAAAGAGTAAAGATTTGCTTTTCAAGGTCCAAAGAAAAAAAGGAAATCTCTGAGTTCAATTTTACGGAATCCTTTCAGGAAGAATAAACTACTAGATTGATTTCTCATCTAGTATCCACGCAAGTGTGATATTTGGTTTGTACAAAAAATTAAAACTTAAACCAATGTTTCTGCTTAAAAGTGTCCTTGTTCTTTGTTCAAATTATTCCCAGAATAGAGAAATTCCTACTATCAAAAAGTCTTCTAGAGCCCACACTTCTGGCTATACATTTTGAAGTCTCTGCCCCCGGCCCTAACAACCGCATGTCTATCTTTCGCAACATGACCTTTCATGGTTTTATTGGAAGGAAGACGGGTGATCATTTCACGTCTTGAGTCCATATTTCTGTAAAATTTTATAATCTATGTATTTTTTGCACGTGAAACTGATATTCTGTATTTATTCCTCTGTTAGGATTTCCTTCTCTATAAAATTAAAAGGTCTATAATCTCATTGTATAAACGGGAACCTGATATATGCTGGTTTTTCTTGGCATTGTGAACTTCTAAGTTGTGCAGATCATCTGGCAAAAAGCATTGAACATAAATACAGAATGTTGTGTGATAGAAAAGTCCCCTGCAAATTTAAAGGAAAATTATATAAGATGGTGGTGAGACCTACAATACTCTCTGGTGTCAAATGTTGGCCATTAAAATAAAAGCATAATACTAAGTTAAGTGTTGCAGAGATGAGGATGTTCAGGTGGATGAGTGACTTTACCCTTGGAGATAGGATATGAAATGAACATATACGTAAAAAGGTTGGAGTAGCTCCAGTGGAAGATAAGATTAGAGAGAGTCGCCTTAGATGGTTTGGTCACATAAAACGGCGGCCTTCCGATGACCTGGTTAGGAAATTAGAGGTACTAGATTTGACTTATGTTAAGAAAGGTTGAGGTAGATCTAAAAAGACTTGGTCATAAAATATTAGAAATGATGTCTTTATTAGATTTAAACAAGAATTTGACTTTTAACATAACACAATGGAGAAAAAGGATTCATGTAGCCTACCCCACATTGTGGGACAAAGGCTTGATGTTGTTGTTGTTGTATTGATGCTCAAGTACTGTTAATGAAATAGCTCTTTTCACATCTAAGTAGCTTTGTGCTCTCTTTCAGCAAGCAAGAAAAAGATTGGACGAGGCGGATTGGCAATGATCGCCACCTGATATGCATAGAGGATCCTTTTCAAGTCTCACATGATCTCGGCCGTGTGGTTGACAAGTTCAGCATCAAGATTCTGAGGGAAGAATTTGAAAGGGCCGCAGATATACTACAATACAATTCAAATCCCAGTGTCACTCTTTTTGAGCCTTATATACCAGCCTCACCTCCAACTGAGCCTGGTGAGTCACTTTAGCTCCAACTTCAGCTTTTTATCTCTCTATCGATCTATTTTACCGTTTTGGATTCTGAAATTATGGCTAAGTTGTTTTATACGCGGTGTGCAGTTTATTTAGACGAGATGTCTACTTGTCTATTGTATATAACCCATCGGCCTATTTTTTTCTGCTATGATGCTATTTTGGTATTTCCTCATCAAATAATTTGCTTATGTATTTGTGTTTGTTTATGATCTGAATTGCTTTTGTTGTGTTTGTTTATATTTTCTATGGATATTGAAGTGCATGTTCTAACTTGTTAGAGCTTTTTCTTTACCTCCTTTGATTTTGGGATGGCTTTTTTACTGCTTTCTAAAACGGAGTTTTAGTACAAAATTTTTTAATTTTGTACTAAAACTCCGTTTTAGAAAGCAGTAAAAAAGCTGTCCCAAACGAAGCCTAAGTCTTCGTTTGGGACGGTTTTCTAAGCAGTTTTTTAGTACAAAAATGTTTAATTCATGAATCTTTTTTGTACTAAGAAGACGTTTTAAGAAGTAATAAGAAACCTGTGTCAAACGAAACCTTAATTATTATTATATTCTTATGAGCAATAATTTTTACTTCAAATTTTAGTGGTGGTGAAGGCAAGCTGTCATGTGTTCATTTTTGACATGGTTTAAGAAAATTTTCATGGTATTAGTAAATTGTAGGGAGGAATAATTTGATCAAGAGATGATTGTTTTAATATAATATTTCAAGCATTAGGAATCTAACTTTTAATATTCTATAAATATTTGAAAACTAATTTAAAGGTAATTGTTATGTGCTTGAAATTTTATGGTGATAGAAAGTGTCTTAATTTTGCATGAAGGTTTAATACACACGGAGGTAAAAAGAAAAATCGAGACATGTCGGAGTTTGTATGCGAAAAACTCGATTAGAGAAAATTATAGAGCCTAGTCCAGTTTAAATATGATACTACTTGAAAGTTGTATAAGTGGTTTTTTCTACAATTAGAGAAAGCGTGATTATGAAATTATGAGCACTTATTTAGTGACGCTATAGTATGGATTTTAGGAGAAATAGTGGACGGATGATGATGATAGTTAGATGATGTTGGTCAGACAATGATGGTTGGATGGCAGAGATTAAGCGATGGTTGGGTGTTAGTAGTTAGTCTATGGAAGTCGGATAATGGTGAATTGATTATTATGACTGGATGTTAGTAGTTAGATGATAATAATCAGGCGACACCGATCTAGCAATAGTATTTTAACAACAATGATGGCTGATGGTGATTTATCTGACTAAGCTTTATAGTTCTTTAGATCTTTGAACTCTGTCCAAACTCAAGTTAAATATGCTCATATGTGAAGAATAAGAGTTATTTTATAGTATTTTGAAAGTTATATTTTAATAAATTTAATTTGAGCCCTCAAAAAAAAAAAAAAAATCCCAACCTAGCTTCTAAGACATGTACAGCCATTTTCACTACTCTGAATGCAATGCTCTCAGATCTTCGAATAGCACCTTAACATCAACAATGGTTTCTTTTGCTTATCTTGCAGACAGTTTATGACTGCCAAAATTTTAAAATATTTATTAAATATAATTTTTGAATTATTATAAATTTTTTAAAAAATTATTAAACATTTCTTTAATAAAATAGTTTTAGTTTTAATTTTAAAATTTGTTATATTTTATAAATTATGATATTTATTGATGTAGAGAAATTAAATATAGATGTTATTTTAAACTAAGTTATAAATATTTTTAAGAAATTAAAATTAAATTTATATTAATTTTTTTAGATTCAGATGTGAGATATTTACTGATTATTAGAATCTAAAATATATTTTCACATAATATTGCTAAAATGTAGATTAAAATTAGGCTCAAAAGTAATCATTAAAATATAATTTCTTAATTTCATTAAAATAACATATATTGATTTCTGTAAGCAGCATATTTGACAAAAAATATTAATAATTTATTACATATTTTTGTAGAACATCGCACAAAAAAACGTGTATAAATTATTATGATGTTTTCTTACTTAAAACATTTATAAAACTATAATAAAATTTTAAAATAATTTAAATATAAAAAATTCTATATGTTGTTATCTAATAACCTATGTATTATATTAGTAAATATAATATTTATCAAAATATTCAATTTATGTCTCCTCTAAAACATTAAAATTTAATATCATAAATATATATATATATATTAAAAATGATTAATTATATTCTTTAAATAACCAATTTTTACCCTCACTAAGAAATTTTTTTTGCTCCCATTGCTTAACCTTCCCATCAAACCAAACAAACTTCTTAAAAAAAGACTGACGGAACCATCACTTGCTATCACATCCAAATGAAATTCTTGTAAATGAGAGCACCTTCTATGAGAGGAGAAATTATTCTATGAGGTTATCACCTGATCGTCCGGAGGCGAATCAAAATGTGTCATGTCATTCAGTACACAATAAAAAAGTGACGTGTAGTGTCCTGATTCGTCTCCGGACGACAACACAGAATAATTAATAGAGAGAGAAAGCTCAGTAATTCCTTAGATATTCACTTCCATATTTAAATGCTAAAGTTTCCCACAAGTTTATTATAAGAGTTAATTAATAACAGAAATCATAGAAACAAATGAATCCATTAAACCTTGAATAGTGAAACCAATTTACTGCAATGCAATGCTGACATATCTGTTGTAATCTTCTTCTTCTTTTCAGTTGGAGTTATTTCAATCTTCTTCTAACTGGGAAATAATGCTGAGGAACACTTGAAAACCTTGAGACATGTCTGAAAAAAGGCAGTATTCATTCTTTGCATGGTATGTATCCATTATGCCTGTAAATTGTTGAGAGTTTTTAGAGGTATCAGTAACTCAAGCCAACAGAATATGTAATAAGAGAATGTCTTGTTCGCAAGAAATAAAAATGAGCAGATCAACCAAGAAATCAGCAGACTTATTTAAGCTTGCTTTGGTTGGATCATTCTACTCCTAGATGTAATGGCAGATGGAAGAGACCTTTAAGCTTTTATTTTTTTTCCAATGAGTAATTGAAACTAAAAACAAAAGGGCATAGGTCTGACAACCATCAATCAACATCTCATAAAAAGGAAAAATTATGCTGTGCAGACGCCAAATGCGGCCTGAAGATCAATCAGAATGTGTCACGTCACCCTTTTGCTCGGTACTGCTGACGTGGCTGCAACTGATTCATCTTCGGACGTAGAACTGCATTCGGCCTCCTCACAGAATAATCTCCATAAAAAGTACCCAAGTTCACACTTCCCATGTCAATAAAAAAAGAAAATTGAAAAGACAAATTTAGTTGAGAAAAAGAAAAATGATTTTTCGATGTATTTATTGAAACATTTAAAGCATTTTTAGAGAAATTCAGTTTCAAAATACAGTAACATAATAAGGAAATAAGCTTACCAAATCCTGAAATCTGAACATCGAAGCCTTCATGCTATAGGGTAATAAAAAAAAATTAAAAAAAAAAGTTTGTGATTCAGTTCCTAGAAAAAGACAACTTAAAGTTTATTTAAGAAAAAAATGTAAACCTGCAATTCACTAATTAAGGGCAAACTTCCAGTAATTGAATATGGCTTCACATATCCAATCACTTCTTCAGTTGCTTTGCATAAAACATGAAATCCACGGGAGTTGAGATCACACGCAACCCCAGACATTGCAGCTTCATCAAAACTAATAGTAAGCCTGAAAGATAAAAATCTAGTGAAAAGTGATAAGCATCAAGGATAATTAAGTAACTGCTGCATCAAGTATACTGATTGGAGTATAATGATTGTAAGGAAATTTCTTAGAGCATTGAGTTAGCTATGTGATAGGAAATAGTTGAGTTCGCAAGTAACCCTAATGGAAAATACTTGAGTTTGCAAGCAAACCTAACAATAATCGGTAAAACAGCGAGAAAATCGAAGAAAATATGGTGGAAGAACAATCAAACGATAGATAATCTTATAGAAAGCAAAGCGAAACAAGAACGAAGTAAATGTACAAGAGATCCTCAATTCGAGAGGAGGATCATCTCTCCCAAATCTCTAGACAAGAGAGTCTAGAGCCCAAGCCGTCAAAAAACCCTAATTGAGAACAAATCAAAACATAATCCTTCCATAAACATCATTTGTTCTTTAATACAAAAATTTTCCTAATCTAATTTCCCTCCCAAGCCCAAGCCTCCCCCCCCCCCTCCTTTTCAATTTGAATTCACTTGGACTAGTGGGGCCCTCAATGTGGGTGGGCAAAATCCATGGTGGATAACAAGTTCCGCCTCCTGTAATAGAGTTGAGCCGGCCCAAGGACCGGCCTAACACTACGTTGGATAGAACAAGATTTCAAGTAAATCATATTTCATTTATTCTCAATCATTTACTATTAAATCTTAAGGAGAAGAGAGTTGGACCTTCCCCTCAAATTTTCATGTGGAAGAACATATTTTGACACTGGTCCTCGTGTGCCAAGCTTTTCTATGTTTGCATTAATATCATCTACATACTCCTGCAATTTATTGGTTACATCTGCCGGTCTGTATAGGATAACGTAGAAAAACAAATAGTTTAGTTTTCCTTTCAGGTTCGAGCAGAAAATTAACAAAAATAATCATCGAATGTACTGAAAAAAGTAGAGATTAAGAAGCACACCTGTAGAAAGGAGTTAACCTGCACCCAAAAAAAAAAAAGAAAGAAAGAAAAAAAAAAGAATTAGAAGCATCTTTATGAACACTGATATCATCGGAAAAAGGTACAAACCATGCCGCTATAAGTAACAAAGCTAATATTCTAATGACCTATATTAATATAATAGTGTTCAATGGACACGACTTCTAGTGACTTGCGTGACTACTTATACAATTATGGTCATCTACTTGCCTTAATATTAAATTTTTAAGAGATTTATGTGGCTAATAATGTGTTTGAATATTTTCTTAAATTTAAAAGTCTTGTAGGTTGGTTATCAAGTTTTACTACAATTTTGGTCATAAGGAAGAAATAAAACATGAAGTATGCAAGAATTCAACACAGGCATTAGATTAGGCTTACTCAAACCTTTGAGCTTGAGAAATATTATAACTATCGTCCTACTAGGAAAGTTGCACCTACTCTTTAAAATTCTTATGAAAAAAAATCATTAAAAGATCTTAGACCATCTCCAAACGAGCGCCTTACAGGCGTATGCAGTTGTTCGACTGCTCCAATTGAACTCCAATTCGCATGGCATTGTCCCAAAGTGATGCCCGATGCAATTTTTTTACGTCAATCTAATTCAAAAAAATTGATAAATATAAAAATATGATTAAAAACAAATATGAAATAAGAAAAAGAATATACACAGAATATTCTTTTTTTAGTGTTAGAAAATGGAGCTTGGTTGGAAATGAGTTGTTGCATTTTGAAGTGGAAAATGAGTTTTATAATTGGAGATGGCCTTATAAAGCATTACAAACACACCAACAAAAAAAATCTTTAATTTATGAACATTTTGAAATGATGAATTAGACAGAAAAATAATGATGTAGACAAAGGGGGGGTCAACACAAGTCTAAAATAATATGTATTTTGGCTTCTCTTGAGTCTACTAGCTCAATCAAAATTGAGCTGAAATTTTAGCTCATTTATGAGCTGGTCTTTAGTTCATTTATTAAACTAAGGGTTAGCTCATTATTAGCTATGATTTTAGTTTATAAAATGATTCTACATTTAATTCTTTTGAATCTTAATAGGCACCTGAGTCTACACAATCATGAACTTTGAGTTTGATAAATATTATAAATAACCTCCTACTAGGACAATTGCAACTATTTTTAAAATTCTTATGAAAAAAAAAATTCATTAAAAGAAATTATAAAGCATGGCAAACACACCAACAAAGAAATCTTGCATTTATGAACATTTTGAAATGATGAATTAGACAGAAAAATAATTACATTTAATTCTTTTGAATCTTAATAGGCACCCGAGTCTACACACTCACGAACCTAAACCTAATGCTGAAAAAAGGTTAAACATGAATCTGAGATCATATATGAACTAAATCTTCAAATAAGATCTAAATCAATTATTGATTGTGAAACAAAACAAATCATTAATGCTGAATATGCTAAATCAATTGAATAAACTCATAATATAAATCTTAATACATTAACTTAACATTATTCTTATGAAAAATAATCAAACCAAAATCAATTTTATTTTTGGTTATTCGTTTCTTGACTTATATATTCATTAAAATAACCTTATTGAGAAAATCAAACTACATCAACACACTGAAAATTCATTCAGGATAACTTCTTCCAAGAAAGCATGAGTTTCAAAACCACATATATCTAATTGAGTCTAAGGATTCATAACTCAGATTAATATTTAAATCCTTTTGCATTAGTTGTCATGATTAACAAGTCATATTTGTCTGTTTTTTTAATTACCATATTTTTTAATGAAATCTAATATATATATTGAGTTTTCTTCATCATTTTCCCATTTAGAAATTAGTTGTAATTATGTATTCATTAGAAAATATATAAGTATTTTAAATATTTTCCTATATGCACCATGAATTAGTCACAAGTAAGATTTGAATGAAATTATTAGTGAGAAGCGTACAGTTAACTATGACAATTATATAAGTCTACTGTAATTAAGGGCAGGAGGTACGTGAAATTCAAATCAATCCGGGTGAGAAAATAATGGTTTACTAAAATCTAAAAATATTTCCTACAGAAATCCTTAAGAAATTAAGGGCTAGAAAAATAGAATTATATGTGTTCATACAAAAAAAAATGTGTTCATACAAAAAAAAAGTGTTCATACAACAAAATAGTTGGAAGACTTAAAGCTAAAAATAAAAAAAGATTCTAATACTCGACAAAATTTTAATTTATCTAATTTAATTGTTTGAGTCATCAGTCAATGTAATTAATTATTCTCTCTATCTCCCCCATCAAATATCACATCCAGCGTATCATATTAACTTTACTCTTGAAGCTTTTTATTGAAGATCAAATCGTGTTCATTATTGATGGTGGATATCAAAGGTACATTGTTTAATTAAGAGATAAACTTATGTATGTTGATTAACAGATATTTCTACAAGGAATGCAAGAGATGCGTCTAAGACAAGCAAAGTTGATTTAAAACAGTTTCCATTCAGCAGCTTAGATGGTTTTCTTCATGATCGAGTCGCTATAGTTCTATATTCATTTAGTTCTCCAAAGTAATTCTCCTTTAATGATTTCCAGTGATTTTTGTGATCCGTCTTTTTATTCAGTGATAATTTCTATGATCTTCCTATGTATAGAGGGGGCTTTTATGATCCATCCTCTATTTAATGGTAGCGTCTAGAATCTTTAAGGCTTATAAAAGTGGAGTTATGATTCAATATTATATTCATGCAATGGTGTTTGGTGGCCACTGCCTGTAGTAATTTTTGTTATGAATTATCCAACTTTGGTAATCGTCATGCACTTATTATTGGATTCTAACAAGAGTTCTTCCATACTAAACTCTAGTAACTCTAGCATTTTTTTCTATTTTATAGCCCTTTTATTTTTTCCTTTTGAACTGATTAAGAGGAATTTCCATTAGCATATATGATTAGAAATGAGGATCTTAGGCCTTAACTAAAACATCAATTGGTTCTTGAATTAATTATAGTTGGATGTGCTATTCCTTTCTTGATCAAACAAGAGTCTTGAAGATTTTTGGGAAAGAGTGTTACCTTATACAAGAGGCATTTGTTTGGTGAATTTCTTTCCGTCCTACTTTTAGCATGTTCCAAATTTTCTTATTGGTTTGACAATGTCACTCAATGTCACAATCCAACCATTAGATCTATGACTACTAAAATTATACTCAATGTATTCTGTTTTAGATCTACTCAAACAAAAACCTTTAGACTATTTTCACTCTATAATTCAAGATCAACATTGTTTCTAGTCTTATCAACATGAAGAATATCATTAACAAAAAACATACACTAAGATACATCATCTTGCAAATGTCCAATGAGAACATTCATGACTAAAAAGATATGGGCTTAAAGGGGATGCTTGATGTAATCCCTAAATTTTGTATGCATGCTATATTTTTTTTTTTCTTCTCATATAGATCAAAAATAAAAATCTTTGACCCAATAATAAAATTAGGGGTGATTGATGGTGGCCCTCGCCCACCATAAAATTTGGATGAACCCTTATATAGCTAGAAACCATATATATATATATATATATAGTAATTTGGATGAACCCTTATATTGTAATTTAGATGAACCCTTATATAACTATATTGTAATTATGTATGATATAAAAATGTTACCCCCTTTAAATTCAAGGTAACCTTTCCACCCCCTCTCTTAAAACTTGGATCATCCACTGCCTAAACTAAGCTCCACGGTGTCATACTTCAATACTACAACAACAAGCCTTTATCCCACTATGTGGGGTTGGCTACATAAATCCTTTTTCTCCAATGTGACATGTTAAGAGTCAAATTCTCATATAAATCTAATAAAGAAATGTCATTTATAATATTTTCTAACCAAGTCTTTTTAGGTATACATCTACCTTTCTTAACATAAGTCAAATCTAATGCATCTACTTTCCTAATTGGGTAATCGGAAGGCCGCCGTTTTATGTCACCAAACCATCTAAGGCAACTCTCTCTAATCTTATCTTTCACTGGAGCTACTCTAACCTTTTTCACGTATATGCTCATTTCGTATCTTGTCTCTACGAGTAAAGACACTCATCAACCTGAGCATCCTCATCTCTACAACACTTAACTTAATATTATGCTTCTCTTTTAATCGCCAACATTATGCACCATAAAGCATTGTAGGTCTCACTACCATCTTATAGAATTTTCACTTAAGTTTGAGAGGGACTTTTCTATCACACAACAAGCCTGATGCATTCCTCCACTTCAACCATCCAACTTGAATTCTACTAATAATATCTCCCAACTATTTCACCATCACTCTGAACAATAGACCTAAAATATCTAAAATGTGTACTCTTATTAATGACTTAATCGCCCAAAGTCACAATCCCCACTAGATCTATTATTACTAAAATTACACTTCACATATTCAGTTTTAGATCTACTCAAATGAAAGCTTTTAAACTCTAAGGTTGACCTTCATAATTCAAGTTTAACTTCAACTCCCTCTCTAGTCTTATCAACAAGAAGAATATCATCAGCAAAAAGAATACACCATGTTACAACTTCTTGCAAATGACTGGTGAGAACATCCGTGACTAAAGCAAAAAACATATGGGCTTAAGGCTGATGCTTGATGTAATCCAACTGAAATAAGAAAATACTTGGTCAAACCACCTTACATTTGAACACAAGTGCCAGCTCCTGCATACATATCCTTAATGACTTGAATATAATCATTATCAACCCCTTTCCTATGGAGAACTCTCCATAACACTTCTCTTGGAACTTTATCATATGTTTTTTTCTAAATCAATAAAAATCATATATAGATCCTCCTTATTCTCACTATACTTATCCATCAAACCTCTCAATAAATGTTTAGCTTCCAAAGTAAACCTACCTGGCATGAATCCAAATTGATTTTGCGAAACATTAGTGTCATGCCACAACCTATGCTCCATAACTCTCTCCCATAGTTTTAAAGTATGACATTTTAACTTAATTCCTCAATAATTTGTACAATCTTGTGCATCACTTTTATTCGTAAAAATATGAATCAACACACTCATCTGACATCTTTTTAGTCTTCAAAATAATATTAAAATTTTTAGTAAGCCAAGGAATTCCTTCATCTCTTAAGCATTTTCAAACCTCTATTGGAATATCATCAGGTCCAACAATTTTTTCACACTTCATTTTCTTTAAAGCATCTTTAACTTCGATTTTACTAATACACCAATAAAAAAAAAATCTTTATTTTCATTTAGAATGTTAAAATCACTAAAATCAATCGCATTATCATAATCTTCATTGAAAAGTTTAGCAAAATATCTCATCCACCTTTTTTGAATATCCTCTTCGAATAAAAGCACTTTTTGACCTTTATCCTTAATACACTTCACTTGAACTACATCAATAGCTTGGATAATATTCCTTTCCTTGATGACAGTTATTGTTGTTTATGCGCTGAGTATAAGATTTAATTGAATTTAATTGAAATTTAATTGATTCTTTTAGGAAGTGATGAATTGGAAAAATAACATAGCAAATGCTAAGTTGACTCTATCAAGAAGGGTAATATTTCTTTCTCAAAGTGCAACTGTACATAGAGCAAGTTCATCTTATAAACAATTATAATCAAGCAAATGCAGAAAAAAATGGAAAGACGGCATTATCAGACGCATAAGTTGAACTAGTGCATAACAAATACACACCTTACATCTCCTGATATTGAGCATTCCCCTGGAATCTGATTGATACCACCTCCCGGATCTGCAAAAATTATTAGCCAAAACATGTATGAGCATTCTCTAGAAAGAAACATCTTACATCATTTATGATCAGCTATCTGCTCCTAAATACTTGCAAAATTATCAAAGTTGTTACTTGCATTCAATAATAGTTAAAAGGGCTTACAGGTCCATTGTGTTGGTTTCATAGTTGATGGTGTAGCAAAGCCATATACCTGCTCCTGAGGATGTGAAGGAAAATCTTGATAAAAGCGGGATTGTATTTCCTTGAGTGCTTCCATGGCCAACTCCAAAGGATTGATTGTCTGTCATATTGAATTAATTTTTAAGCCCCCCCTTAACAGTTGGCTAGCTTTTAGACTAGTCATTATTCTTCTCAATAAAATTAAAGCAAAAATAAAACAAATATAGCACTATATCCAAACCAAAAAAGAGCACAATGAAATAAAACTATGAGAAATATCAGGCTATTTCCTCCTTGTTCTAGAAATAATCAAAATCGAAGAGGCTCACAGGTGCTTTGAATCACTTTAAATTAGTTTCTCTATAAAACTTATAATATTTTCCAAATTAGTTTCTCTATTAGAAATCAGTTTAATTAAGATTGAAATTGCAAACACATATCACTAATATGATCACAAATCCTGATCATAAATCACAAGTATTCACTCATCATACTCCATGTAGGCCAAATTGATATGTTGGTTGAAAGCTTTGATTACTAATCAAGAGGTTTTGAGTTCGAACATTACGTGTGATATGTGTAATACTCCAAAAGTCACTTGCCATAACTAAAATATCAGGATGTACGCATTCAAAAAGTTACCTTGTGGGGAAAACCGCTGTGGAAAAGCTTTCCAGTCGCTCGAAGCTTCCAAGTAATCATCCCACCAGTACCAATGCAAGGCTGCTTGTCAGCAGTATCAATCCAAAACCTTTAATAGACCACCATTTTAAACAAAACAAATAGCTAAAAGTCAAAAAAAAAAATTTAACCTTCCAATAAAGCCACAAACATTCAACGATCCACAACTAATGATGGCGGATACTCACAAAGGTCCTTGCTTGAGCTTATCAAGTAGCCCATCCTTCACGAGCTCATCCACACCGATCCCAAGCACCGATGAATTCTCCTCATTAGCAATAAAAACTGCGACCACCGTATTCTTGAGCGGTGGCCTCACTTGGCCAAGCTTTCGCATGAGCTCCGTCACGAGGGCGACATGCCCCAAGCAATCCGTCGTCCCACGGCCCTTCAGCTTGTCACCGTCCACACCCAAAGAAAAGGGATCAAAATCCTGCAATTAGCCAAATCACCACAAAATATTAAGGGAAATACAAGCAAGATAGTAGACCATCCATCATAGATGGTAACAATCGGGATTGGGGCGGCCAACAAGTTGGATTAAAGTTGACATATATTTCGAATCAAAAAACCACAAATTGGGTCGAGTTACATAAAATGTATCGAGAAATTACTCAACTTAGTACCCTAAAAAGATCGTTTTTTATGAAGGTAAAGCTTTATAACCCTATATACGCATGAGGACCATCTTTGGCTCTAGGTTTTCAAGCCATTGTTCTTTCTTTCATAATAGAACAAAGGTAAACACGCTTTTACGCAGAGCGTCTTTACCAACAAAGAAGCGTTTGGATCAAAACATTGCGATTAGCCAAAACCCTAGAAAATCAAAAAGCGCAATCGACCAGAAGCAAACCCAGTCGGCGGGATCGGCGGTGACGACGTCCATGTGGCACCCGACGAAGGAGAGGATCTTGCCAGGGGTGGAGCCAGGATATTCGACGATTATGTTGCCGCGGCCCTCAGCGTAGCTGACGTGGGAGACGACAAGGGGACCACCGTCAGTGGAGGTGCTGAGGGGGAGAAGCGCATCAAGAACATGGCGGGCAACACGGTCTTCCTTTGGGATGAGATCCGGCGGATTGTTCTGCACGTGACGGGCCTCGCCGATGATCTTTGAGAGGAGGGAAACGTATGAATCGCGGTCGAGGGAACCAATTAGGTCTTTGATCGAAGGAGAAGAAAAAGCCATTCTTCGCCGGTGGCGCGAGGAGGAGGGAGGAGGTGTAGGACGTTGCGGAGATTCGAATGCAATTGTCTCGAGGAAAATGACGCAAGATCAAATTTTTACGTGCGGGGAATTCATTGCGCTGAAGAAATTTTTGGTGACTGTACTTTTTTTAAATAATTTAATAATTTGTATTTATTACAGTGTAATTTATAGTAATTAAATTTATTTAAGAAATGCTGTGTGAACATTTTTTAAATTTTCTTTTTCTATGTAATTTTAATAAAAATGAGAAAAAAAATTATTTGAAATAATTAAATATCATATATTCTCTCCTAATAAAAAATATCATAAATGAAAGAAGAATTTTTTTTATTTGATTTATGTACAACTAAAAAAATATGTAAAAACTTATTTTAACTTAATTTCTTTATAACTTTTATTTTTAATTTATCTTGCTTAAGCGCCGTGTCTGATTACTTGTAGTTGAAAATTTTAAAAATAAATTGTATTTATTTTAATTTTTTAACTAGAAATTAAATATTATTTTTGAGAGAATTTTTATGAAATTTTTGTTCTTTAATGTTGATTTCTGCCAATACAATCAAATAATAAATTTAAATTTCTTACTTTTCTAAAACATGCTTCTGAACTTATAACCAATAAATGATTTTTAAAATAAATAAATATTTAAATAATTTACTTATTTTATGCTAATAAAAATATATGTGGGAGTTTATATACATATCGCTCAAAATTTTCTCATCTACATATTTGATGTCTAAATTTTTTTTTTCCACATATAACAATTAACATTTTAAATATCAACAAAAATACCACTTACTCCCAAATTTCATCTAGATCTCATCTCGATCACTCTTGCAGGTCGTCGATCATTTCACCATCACCACATTCACACGTTGACAATCTCATCACCTTTATCACGTTCTGCTAGTCATGGAGGCATAACAAAGTCACAATACAACTTGTTAGAGTGATGTGTCGACATTAACAGTGTAAACAAATAAAAGTCATGAAAAAGCTCTTTAGGACAACGCATCAACAAGACCAATGAAGTCACAACGAAACTTGCCATGACAACTCATCAACCGGCTCGAAAAAGATAGACACCGTGGAGCTCACTATGGCATGGCTAATATATATTTTTTCCCTCATCTTAGAAGAGGCTTAAGATGTGAGAGAAGATGTTGGGATGGTTTGGAGTAAGTATTTGAGATAGGAGAGCAACCAAACTTAAAATAAAAGATAACTACTTGATCTTACTAAAGAAAATACATCATTAAAGATTTATTGTATTTTCTTCTGCAGTCTTTGAATTATTGAACTGCTGCATCAACTTAGAACTAGCGATTATTTCCCCTTAAAGAGTTTGTTATAGTTTTTAAGGATGTAACTTTTGTCTCTATTATAACTTTTATTGATTGATTCTAATAGCATCAATGCCAATTTTAATTCCTAACATCACCAATATTAGTGCCCAAAGTCAGTGTTAAACTAATAATCAAGCTCTATCTTTGACAATACTAAAATATATCATATGAAGTGAATGAATATATATATATATATATATATTTGATAAAAGAATAATATTATTACCGGTTTATTACCGGCGGTGTTACGGTGGACATCCGGCGGTTTACATCGTCGGTAATCCCGACGGCTCGAACCATCGGCTATCGACGGTAAAGGAACCGGCAGTCTACCGGCGGTTTAAGAAACAAACGACGTCCACCTAAACCGCCGAATGACCGTCGGTAATATGACTGCCGGTCAGCCGTCGGTCAGATAACCGGCGGCGTAACGGCCGGAAAACCGCCGGTTCCAAATCCGGTGGTCACCGGCGGTATACGCCGCAGGAAATTAAATCGACGCCAACATAAACCGCCGGTAAAACACCGCCGGTAAATGTTTCCTACGCGATTTTTTCCAGCGGCTGGAAAACCGCCGTAAAGCTGCCGGTAGTCCATAAAACCGCCGGATAATCTAACGTAACCGCCGGATTTCGACGTTTTTCCTGTAGTGAATGATTCATAACTAATAGTTTAACTGCAATGTTATTATACAATATTTATTTATATAACTTTATTGATGTAATGATTATTGATTTACTTCTATTTATTTATATTCTAAAAATACTTGATCAATATTTGTTTACTAATCATACTAGTCCATATTGATTTATATTGTTCATAAATTAATGTAGATTCATATAGATCTTTATAGGTCATATTTATTAAAATAAAGCATACATATTGATTTTGAGTGCCTTGCATTGATAACAATTTTAGGTTTTGATGGCCTATTAAGTTCTTAGCTCACTTTGTAATTTTACATATTTTTAAGAAGGGGTCAGAACCTAGTAGAGTGAGGTTAATCAGAATCTTTAGGTTTTACATATTTTGGTTTTATTTTTTGAAACCAAAAGTGTTTAATGATCGAAGAATTGTAGACTGAGCTCGTGGTTATTATATGAATTTTGGGGGTAATGAATATATAATTATAAATTAATGTATATGACTTGTTGTGTATGATTTATAGTTATTTTCTATGAATTTATTTATATAAAAAATATTAGAGGAGATCTGGTATATTAATTAAGAGATAAAATATATAATTATTTCATATTTAAATCTTAGGACGTCACATGTCATTTGCCTTATATTGTCTGACTACTATATCCCTCCAACTGCATTGCCAATAATGTTGATGCATGTCACTGCTTATGAGGCTTATGCATATCATTATCAAATAATATCAAAGTTCATCAATTTTGACTCTCATCAATTCCAATAATATTGACGCATATTATTTTTTTTTCTAGAAGGTTAATACATGTCATCGACGCACATCATTGCTTATAAAGTCAATGCACACATGCCATCTACACACATGATTGCTTAAAAGCAATGGTGTTGACTTCATAGTCTGTCATCACTCACAACGCTAATGCATGTCATTATCGCTAATAAGAAAGATACATATTATCGGCGCCAACATCAATAGCAATATTATATTAGACTTAATTATTTGCCATCAAACTTCTCTTCTTAAAATAGAACAATCAAGCATACCATAAATGATCTCTTAAAGACAATTTCAAAGTCATAATGCTCCTCTAACTTTCACCATGGATTCCATTCTCTAATGTTCACAAATAGGACATTGTATAAAAATGTTCTCTAATTACAAGAAAGAGTATCATCTTTTATCTGCTAAATATATTAGTAGAATCATTTTAACTATGGCCAGTAAAAAATTGAAATATTTCATGTATTTTTTCGGTTGAAGAAAAATGGATGAAAATTCTGACTACAAAAGCTAGCGAAAATTCCACCTGAAATAGCCATTATCACCATCATCTCTGGGCCTCTGGCCTCCCTCTCCACTGCATGCGAAAACACCCTATTGATGCCATTTTCACCCCTATTTTCCTGTCTAACATTCATGCATGATCATTTTTAAGCGTTTTCTCCACCAATTTTAAGTATTTCTTCTAGGATTTAAAGATAAATATTCACCTCTTTGAATGTTTTCAATCAATATAAGATTTCATTTATTAAATTTTATTTAAAAAGAGTTTGAAATTTCTAGCTTTATGTGAATGAGTTGCGTTTTACTCTTAAAGATAGAACATGAAACTTAATGAATATATATGTAATAAAGTTGGAGTAGGTTCAGTGGTAGATAAGATTAGAGAGAGTTGCCTTAGATGATTTGGTCATGTAAAATATCGGCCTTTCAATGATCGAATTTTAGCCTTTGGCGGCGGAATAATCCGCTCCAAAATAAGAAAAATCCGTTGCAACTTGCAAATACTGATTTGCGGCTGATTTACAACAGATTTGTGGTGGCATTGAATCCACCGTTAAAACTTGGGTTGCAAAACATTTGTAATGGATTTTCAGTCGTAAATCCATCACAAAATAAACAATGGAAATTTCCGTCGTAAATCCGCCGCAATCTCAAAGAAAATTTTTTCCGTTCAAATTGCAAACTTTCCTGTGGTCCGATTAGGACAGTAGATGTTGTATATATAGCCTATATTAAGAAAGATAGAAGTATATAGGCCTAAAAAGATTTGGTTAGAAGTCTTTAGAAACAATTTTTTTTCCCTTCGATTTAAAGGATAATCTGACTCTTAATAAGACACAATGGGAAAAAAAGATTCATGATTTCGACCCCATATAATGCTGTTTTGGTATGATTTATATCCACTGTGTGAAGACGAAGCTTGCAAATTCCACATGGATTATATCTAAGCTACTGTCAAAACTCAAAAGAGACAAAGCAAGCAGACAAAATACATGGAAGTTGTTTCTGCTGCGCAAGTAACTTGATAGCTGTAAAGAAGACATTGTAATAATTTAAATTGCAAGGAAATTTTCTAAATTTTTTATGATAAAATTAATATCTTTTTATACTGCAAAATTTAATTATTTATTTATAACACTGTCAATTATTATTTCGTAAAATTATAATGGCAAAATGGATATTTTGCAGTTAATGAAAATATTTTACCTATAAATACTATTACAAATATTTTTTCCAGTTTTTTTCTATTATTGAAAATGTTAAGAACAAGTGAAAAATCATCTTTGGACGTTAAGTTTATTATTATTTATTAAGTATGATTATTAATCCGTGTTTATAGAATATTTATCCTTCAATTCTTTAGGCTTTTAAAATTTAAAATTAGTTAAGACACTACATGAAAAATATGTATTTCCAATAAATTTTCCGACGGATTATATTATGACCGAATGACCAGTGGAATTGCCAGCGAAATGGACGTCAAAAGCAATTGAGGCATTTAACAAAAATATCCACCAAAATTTCCTTTCATCTAAATTTATATGTTGTAGTACTAATTTTTAAAGGATTGTTCGTGTATATTAATATGCCTTTCATATATTTAAATACTTAAATTCATAAATTCAAGTTTTTAGAGCATTTCCTATACTCATTTTTATATGGTTCTTCCTATATTTAGTTATTTTACAACACTTCTTATATTTATTTATTTACAACACTTGATTTTTTTTATTATCAGCTCATAAATAATACATATTTTTTTTTATTTTGCAAATGGCTTCTGGTGATGAGCCCCCTCAC